ACTACCACTACCACCACTACCACCACTACCACCACCACTACCACCACCACCACTACCACCACCACTACCACCACTACCACCACCACCATCACCACTACCACCACTACCACCACTACCACCACCATCACCACTACTACCACTACCACCACTACCACCTCCACCACCACCACCACCACTACCACCACTACCACCTCCACCACTACTACCACCACTAATGTGAGTGGAGGAAGTTTTTTGTGAGTCGGAGTTTATTTTGTTATTTATAATAACCAGTTCGGCAACCACTGCATTCTAGGTAGCGTCAGAGCACACACAGACAAAGCTCCCCCAGGTAGCCTCTAGCAGGGATGTAGGGGCAAGTGCTGTTACACAGACACAGACAAAGCTCCCCCAGGTAGCCTCTAGCAGGGCTGTAGGGGCAAGTGCTGTCACACACAGACACAGACAAAGCTACCCCAGGTAGCCTCTAACAGGGCTGTAGGGGCAAGTGCTGTCACACAGACACAGACAAAGCTCCCCCAGGTAGCCTCTAGCAGGGCTGTAGGGGCAAGTGCTGTTACACACAGACACAGACAAAGCTCCCCCAGGTAGCCTCTAGCAGGGCTGTAGGGGCAAGTGCTGTTACACAGACACAGACAAAGCTACCCCAGGTAGCCTCTAGCAGGGCTGTAGGGGCAAGTGCTGTTACACAGACACAGACAAAGCTCCCCCAGGTAGCCTCTAGCAGGGCTGTAGGGGCAAGTGCTGTTACACACAGACACAGACAAAGCTACCCCAGGTAGCCTCTAGCAGGGCTGTAGGGGCAAGTGCTGTTACACACAGACACAGACAAAGCTACCCCAGGTAGCCCCTAGCAGGGCTGTAGGGGCAAGTGCTCTTACACACAGACACAGACAAAGCTCCCCCAGGTAGCCTCTAGCAGGGCTGTAGGGGCAAGTGCTGTTACACAGACACAGACAAAGCTCCCCCAGGTAGCCTCTAGCAGGGCTGTAGGGGCAAGTGCAGTCACACAGACACAGACAAAGCTACCCCAGGTAGCCTCTAGCAGGGCTGTAGGGGCAAGTGCAGTCACACAGACAAAGCTACCCCAGGTAGCCTCTAGCAGGGCTGTAGGGGCAAGTGGCAATACACACACGTACACACAGGCTAGGTGAACCAGGAGGAGGTCACGTGATAGACACAGCCGTTGCCCATTGGTTGACTGCTGCTGTGCCAGGCTAGGTGCACCAGGAGGAGGTCACGTGACAGACACAGCCGTTGCCCATTGGTTGACTGCTGATGTACCAGCCTGGGTGCAGATGCACCACCTGTGCCCCCTGCTGGAGATGAGAGATTTTACAAAGGCAAAGCGCCCCCAGGTAGCCTCTAACAGGGCTGTAGGGGCAAGTGCACTCACACAGACACAGACAAAGCGCCCCCAGGTAGCCTCTAGCAGGGCTGTAGGGGCAAGTGCACTCACACAGACACAGGCAAAGCGCCCCCAGGTAGCCTCTAACAGGGCTGTAGGGGCAAGTGCAGTCACACAGACACAGACAAAGCTACCCCCAGGTAGCCTCTAACAGGGCTGTAGGGGCAAGTGCTGTTACACAGACACAGACAAAGCTACCCCAGGTAGCCTCTAGCAGGGGCTGTAGGGGCAAGTGCTGTCAGTGGGCACTCTGGCTCACACAGAGGGGGTGGGTGGCCAGCACCACCACGCCCGGCCGCCTTTGTATCCCCAATGGCGCTAACCACTGCACCACCAATCCCCACACACTCATACTTGTTTAGACTCACTCATCCACTCACTCACCCACTCACTCATCCACTCACTCACCCACTCACTCATCCACTCACTCATCCACTCACTCACCCACTCACTCACCCACTCACTCATCCACTCACTCACTCATCCACTCACCCACTCACTCACCCACTCACTCACACAATCACCCACTCAGTCACTCACTCACCCACTCATCCACCAACTCACTCACCCACTCACTCACCCACTCACTCACTCACCCACTCACTCACTCACACACTCAGTCACTCACTCACCCACTCACTCACTGACTCACCCACTCACTCACCCACTCACTCACTCACCCACTCACTCACTCACCCACTCACTCACTCATCCACTCACTCACTCCCCACTCACGCACTCACTCACTCACACACTCACTTACTCACCCACTCACTCATCCACTCACTCACACACTCACTCACTCATCCACTCACTCACTCCCCACTCACGCACTCACTCACACACTCACTTACCCACTCACTCATCCACTCACTCATCCACTCACTCACCCACTCACTCACCCACTCACCCACCCACCCACTCACCCACTCACTCACACACCCACCCACCAACCCACCCACTCACACACCCACCAACCCACCCACTCACCCACTCACCCACCCACTCACTCACCCATCCATTCACCCACTGACTCCCTCACTCACTCACACACTGTCACTCACTCACCCACTCACACACACACTCACTCACCCACTCACTCACCCACTCACTCACTCACCCACTCACTCACCCACTCACCCACCCACTCACCCACCAACCCACCCACTCACCCACCCACTCACACACCCACCCACTCACCCACCCACTCACCCACTCACACACCCACTCACACACTCACCCATCCATTCACCCACTGACTCCCTCACTCACTTACTCCCTCACCCACTCATCCACCCACCCACTCACCCACCCACCCACTCACCCACCCACTCACCCACCCACTCACCCACCCACTCACCCACTCACTCACTCACCCATCCATTCATCCACTGACTCCCTCACTCACTGACTCCCTCACCCACTCACACACCCACCCACCCACTCACCCACTCACCCACCCACTCACTCACCCACTCACCCACCCACCCACTCACCCACTCACTCACACACCCACCAACCCACCCACTCACTCACACACCCACCAACCCACCCACTCACCCACCCACTCACTCACCCACCCACACGCTGAGTCTACAGTATATATATCAGGGCGTTTATTGTCATTAGAAGTGTCTAATCGCCGTTATACGAGTCTCATTACTATCACATACAAAGATAGATTTAATGTGTGAGTGAGTGGGTGAGTGCGTGGGTGAGTGAGTGGGTGGATGAGTAAGTGGGTGGGTGAGTGGGTGGGTAGGTGAGTGGGTGGGTGGGTTGGTGAGTGGGTGGGTGGGTAAGTGAGTGGGTGGGCGAGTGGGTGGGTGAGTGAGTGTGTGAGTGAGTAGTTGAGTGAGTGAGTAGGTGAGTGAGTAGGTGAGTGAGTGAGTAGGTGAGTGAGTAGGTGAGTGAGTGAGTAGGTGAGTGAGTAGGTAAGTGAGTGAGTAGGTGAGTGAGTGTGTGGGTAAGTAGTTGAGTGTGTGGGTGATTAGGTGAGTGAGTCGGTGAGTGAGTAGGTAAGTGAGTAGGTGAGTGAGTGAGTGAGTAGGTGAGTGAGTAGGTAAGTGAGTGAGTAGGTGAGTGAGTGTGTGGGTGAGTAGGTGAGTGTGTGGGTGATTAGGTGAGTGAGTAGGTGAGTGAGTGAGTAGGTGAGTGAGTGTGTGGGTGAGTAGTTGAGTGTGTGGGTGATTAGGTGAGTGAGTCGGTCAGTGAGTAGGTGAGTGAGTGAGTGAGTCGGTGAGTGAATAGGTGAGTGAGTGAATGAGTGAGTGAGTAGGTGAGTGAGTGAGTTGGTGAGTGAATAGCTGAGTGAGTGAATGAGTGAGTAGGTGAGTGAATAGCTGAGTGAGTGAATGAGTGAGTAGGTGAGTGAGTGAGTGAGTAGGTGAGTGAGTGTGTAGGTGAGTGAGTGAGTGGGTGAGTGAGTGAGTGAGTAGGTGAGTGAGTGAGTGAGTAGGTGAGTGAGTGAGTGTGTAGGTGGGTGAGTGAGTGAGTGAGTGGGTGAGTGAGTGAGTGGGTGAGTGTGTAGGTGGGTGAGTGAGTGAGTGAGTGGGTGAGTGAGTGAGTGGGTGAGTGGGTGAGTGAGTGAGTGAGTGTGTAGGTGGGTGAGTGAGTGAGTGAGTAGGTGAGTGAGTAGCTGAGTGAGTGAATGAGTGAGTAGCTGAGTGAGTGAATGAGTGAGTGAGTAGGTGAGTGAGTGAGTAGGTGAGTGAGTAGGTGAGTGAGTAGGTGAGTGTGTAGGTGAGTGAGTAGCTGAGTGAGTGAATGAGTGGCTGAGTGAGTGAATGAGTGAGTGAGTAGGTGAGTGAGTGAGTAGGTGAGTGAGTGAGTAGGTGAGCGAGTAGGTGAGTGTGTAGGTGAGTGAGTAGCTGAGTGAGTGAATGAGTGGCTGAGTGAGTGAATGAGTGAGTGAGTAGGTGAGTGAATGAGTGAATGAGTGAGTGAGTAGGTGAGTGAGTGAGTGAGTAGGTGAGTGAGTAGCTGAGTGAGTGAATGAGTGGCTGAGTGAGTGAATGAGTGAGTGAGTAGGTGAGTGAGTGAGTAGGTGAGTGAGTGAGTAGGTGAGTGAGTAGGTGAGTGTGTGAGTGAGTAGCTGAGTGAGTGAATGAGTGGCTGAGTGAGTGAATGAGTGAGTGAGTAGGTGAGTGAATGAGTGAGTGAGTAGGTGAGTCAGTGAGTGAGTAGGTGAGTGAGTAGCTGAGTGAGTGAATGAGTGGCTGAGTGAGTGAATGAGTGAGTGAGTAGGTGAGTGAATGAGTGAATGAGTGAGTGAGTAGGTGAGTGAGTGAGTGAGTAGGTGAGTGAGTAGCTGAGTGAGTGAATGAGTGGCTGAGTGAGTGAATGAGTGAGTGAGTAGGTGAGTGAGTGAGTAGGTGAGTGAGTGAGTAGGTGAGTGAGTAGGTGAGTGTGTGAGTGAGTAGCTGAGTGAGTGAATGAGTGGCTGAGTGAGTGAATGACTGAGTGAGTAGGTGAGTGAATGAGTGAGTGAGTAGGTGAGTCAGTGAGTGAGTAGGTGAGTGAGTAGCTGAGTGAGTGAATGAGTGGCTGAGTGAGTGAATGAGTGAGTGAGTAGGTGAGTGAATGAGTGAATGAGTGAGTGAGTAGGTGAGTGAGTGAGTGAGTAGGTGAGTGAGTAGCTGAGTGAGTGAATGAGTGGCTGAGTGAGTGAATGAGTGAGTAGGTGAGTGAATGAGTGAATGAGTGAGTGGCTATTTCACTTTGGCTGTGCTTCTCGCTCCGTTCACAATGGCAGCGTGTGGATGCGGTGAGGAGGTAGCTGAGGAGGTGGTGGATGATGATGATGATGTGGATGATGATGATGTGGATGATGTTGATGATGATGATGAGGTGGTCTGGTGGTGGATGATGATGATGTTGATGTGGATGATGACGATGATGATGTTGATGACATCACTTGCTCTGCTTGGACTTCCACTCGTTGTAACCGCCAGGGAAGTGACGGACTCTGAACAGAGACACACACAGAGACACACACAGAGACACACACAGTGACACACACAGAGAGACACACACACACAGACACACACACACAGACACACACACACACAGAGACACACACAGTGACACAGAGACACACACAGAGACACACACAGAGACACACACACACAGAGACACACACACACAGACACACACACAGAGACACACACAGAGACACACACAGAGACACACACAGTGACACAGAGACACACACAGAGACACACACAGAGACACACACAGAGACACACAAAGTGACACAGTGACACACATAGAGACACACACAGTGACACAGAGACACAGAGACACACACACAGAGACACACACAGTGACATACACAGTGACACACACAGTGACACACACAGTGACACAGTGACACACACAGAGACACACAGAGACACACACAGTGACACAGACACACACAGAGACACACACAGAGACACACAAAGTGACACAGAGACACAGTGACACACATAGAGACACACACAGTGACACAGAGACACAGAGACACACACAGAGACACACACAGTGACACACACAGTGACACACACAGTGACACAGTGACACAGAGACACACACAGTGACACACACAGAGACACACACAGAGACACACACAGTGACACAGACACACACAGAGACACACACAGAGACACACACAGTGACACAGAGACACACACAGAGACACACACAGAGACACACACAGAGACACACACAGAGACACACACAGAGACACACACAGTGACACAGAGACACACACAGAGACACACACAGTGACACAGAGGAGACACACACACAGACACACACAGAGACACAGTGACACAAAGACACACACAGAGACACACACAGTGACACACACAGTGACACACACACAGTGACACACAGAGTGACACACACACAGTGACACACACACACACACAGACACACACAGAGACACAGTGACACAGAGACACACACAGAGACACACACAGAGACACACACAGTGACACACACAGTGACACACACACAGTGACACACAGAGTGACACACACAGTGACACACACAGTGACACACAGAGACACACACAGTGCCACAGAGACACAGTGACACACACAGAGACGCACAGTGACACACACAGAGACACACAGAGACACAGAGACACACACAGAGACACACACAGAGACACACACAGTGACAGAGACACACACAGTGACACAGAGACACAGTGACACAGAGACACAGTGACACAGAGACACACACAGAGACACACACACAGAGACACACACACACAGTGACACACACAGTGACACACAGAGACACACAGTGACACACAGTGACACAGAGACACACACAGAGACACACAAAGTGACACAGTGACACACATAGAGACACACACAGTGACACAGAGACACAGAGACACACACACACAGAGACACACACAGTGACATACACAGTGACACACACAGTGACACACACAGTGACACAGTGACACAGTGACACACACAGAGACACACAGAGACACACACAGTGACACAGACACACACAGAGACACACACAGAGACACACAAAGTGACACAGAGACACAGTGACACACATAGAGACACACACAGTGACACAGAGACACAGAGACACACACACAGAGACACACACAGTGACACACACAGTGACACACACAGTGACACAGTGACACACACAGAGACACAGTGACACACACAGAGACACACACAGAGACACACACAGTGACACAGACACACACAGAGACACACACAGAGACACACACAGTGACACAGAGACACACACAGAGACACACACAGAGACACAAACAGAGACACACACAGAGACACACACAGTGACACAGAGACACACACAGAGACACACACAGTGACACAGAGGAGACACACACACAGACAAACACAGAGACACAGTGACACAAAGACACACACAGAGACACACACAGTGACACACACAGTGACACACACACAGTGACACACACACACACACAGACACACACAGAGACACAGTGACACAGAGACACACACAGAGACACACACAGAGACACACACAGTGACACACACAGTGACACACACAGTGACACACAGAGTGACACACACACAGTGACA